CTACTTTGCCAAAGGTGGCTCAAAAATGTCTTCCCTAGTCTGTCTATCCTAACGATATCCCTTCCCGCCTTTTCAACCCACCTCCTATGCCCCAGTACAGCTACCGTCCCTTCCTCCCTATTCCATGCCTGAAACATCTCCCTGTAAGTCCCATTTTTTTTTCCCAGCTCAGTCACGTACACTCCCTCTCCTTCTTGTGCCATGGACATTCCGCGACTACATGAACACGGTCTTCGCATTCGAAGCCGCAATCACATTTGAACTCGTCGTCTTCGTCGTCTACAGTCCTATGTCTTCGTCGACGTTCTCGAAGGCCTATGTTCCCGGTCCTGAATTTGACCTCAAGCTTTGTTCCTGCATCCATTGGTCCATGTAGGTAATCCTTGAACCCTATTCCTTCCTTCAACATTCCGAACATTTCTAGACCCTCCTTATCCTTGGTTTCTTTCCTAAGATTCTGTTCTCTCTCGGCACAAGCAACAAGTATCTCCTTGAACCCCTGTAGACCCTCCGTTTCCAGCGTTTCATCTTCGTCGATGTCGAGCCCCTTCCATACGCCCTCTACAACCTTGACCCATTCCGTGGGTTGTCTACCCCTCTTTTTGTTTGCTCACTTCGCCTCCCATACAATTCTCGGCAACCTCTCCTCTCCCATCCCGCACATGCGATACTGCGATGTCAGCTTCCTCGCGTCTCTTCCCGACCGTAGGGATTCGATCCCCGATTCTGCCCTGACGGCTGCGGCGGTGAAATTTAGGCGAGTTGAACAGTGCGCTTTAGTCACCTCCGGGTACTCAGAGTCGACGACAAGCTGAAGGGAAAACCTATACATTCTTCAGCACAAACCGTCCTTGAATAATTTACGGTTTGTCGCGATACGAACCCGCTCACGGGTTCTGTGTTTTGGAGTTATGGAGTGGCTCCCAATAACCTCCGGATATGTAGCTCCTGTGCTTCCGAGTAGCTCTGTATTACATCAGCAAATTTCCAAGTTGATGATCTCGAACGTCGTCGGCATCGCTGAGACCTCCGTCGCCCACGTCGCACCTGTCCTCGCCCCTGACGGTTTCCACCTAAATTGTGGCGAACTTTAGGCTTCCATCGAAATCAGATGCCCGAAGCCAACCAACGAACTCGAGACTCACGGCGCCCTTCGAGCTATAGTCCGCCCGAGGATTCCACAACGCGAAACCAACTCATACGGCGCAGTTGAAGAAACACGCCAGGGAAGATAAAGGCCACACCGGTGGGGGGGTGAAATTTAGGCGAGTTGAACAGTGCGCCTTAGTCACCTCCGGGCACTCAGAGTCGACGACATGCTGAAGGGCAAACCCATACATTCTTCAGCAGAAACCGTCCTTGAATCAATTCACGGTTTGTCGTAATACGAACCCGCTCACGGGTTCTGTGTTTTGGAGTTATGGAGTGGCTCCCAACAACCTCGGGATATGTAGCTCCTGTGCTTCCGAGTAGCTCTGTATTACATCAACAAATTTCCAAGTTGATGATCTCGAATGTCGTCGGTATCGCTGAGACCTCCGTCGCCCACGTCGCACCTGTCCTCGCCCCTGGCGGTTTCCACCTAAATTGTGGCGAACTCTAGACTAGGCTTTCATCGAAATCAGATGCCCGAAGCCAACCAAAGAACTCGAGACTCACGGCGTCCTTCGCGCTATATTCTAGACGCGCGAGGATTCCACAACGCGAAACCAACTCATACGGCGCAGTTGAAGAAACACGCCAGGAGATTGGAAAATACCGGAGTCGTGAAATACGTTGTTCTACAATTTCTTTCTCAACCTGCGAGCCTTCTTGTCCTTGTCTGCCCAAATTGGGATGCCTTTTCTGATCGATTGCTCCACGTATGCTGCTTTTGTGATGCGATTTGTGACGGGTTTGGTGGGACAGCTGAAAACGAATACCGTGATATTGTGATGATCTATTGTCGCCAAAGACGTGAGTACAAGTAGCGACGAGTTAGCATTTCGTAATGTTTCGTTGCACAAGAAAAAGAAGTGGATGTGTGGGTATATGTCCATCGCATCTCAAAATCAATTAGGTGTGGGCGCGTGTATTAGAGAGCATGCGGCTGTTTCGCAGCACCATAGACGAGCCACAGAGATGGATAATAAAATAAATGCAATTTACAGTACTGGGCCCTCTATAGTGCAGGGGTGTGTCCAGAAATTTTACCTGCACTTAGCGGGCACCTGAACTAATCAGAGTAATAGTGCAGGTTCGGCACTATTGAGGCATTGAGTATTCCTCAATAGTGCAAGTCCGGCACTAAATTGAGGAGATGTTTCTTTTCATGGTGTGGCGCTCATGCTTTGCGGGGCCAACAGAGTACGAATTGGATCGAATTACAGTAGTAGTAGTGCTGGCCCCTGTTCTAGCGTGGGCGAGAGCAGACTGTCCCGCGAACCGTGTGGTTCCCCCCTGCCGCACACACAGAAATGTTATAGGAAAATTACTTGCAAGTTGCACCGTGAACTTCTTCCTGCCTCAGCACTCGTTCTGTACTACACACCGTGAACTCTGGCACGAATCAATCCCTTCACCATTAATACTTCGTCATCGGTGCCCCCGTTCGATGTCTCAGGATAAGTATATACATAACACGCCAGGAAGCGCACTACAAGAAAACAAACAAATACTACTGCTGTCGCTGTAGACTACGCCCCGTCCTCACTACGTCGCGAAAAACTATCTCATATCTGGCTGGCGCATCCATCAGGATAAATATATATATATATATAACACGCCAGGAAGCGCACTACAAGAAAACAAACAACCATCACTGCTATCGCTGTAGACTATCCTATATATATTGAAGTATATAACACGCCAGGAAGCGCACTACAAGAAAACAAACAACCACTACTGCTATCTCTGTAGACTACGCCCCGTCCTCACTACGTCGCGAAAAACTATCTTTCTTATGTCTGGCTGGCGCATCCATCAACTTGAGAATCTCAAGCTTCGTGTTGTTGTCCGGCCGCGCACGAGAACCAGACCCCTTCTTTCTCCCTCCCTTCGTTTGCTCCGGGCGTTTAGATGGTCCCGCCCCAGCACCCGCAGCTGGTGTCGCTTTGCGCTTGTCAGCCTTGGCGACGCTGTTGCTGCAGGTAAGATGCGGTGCTTTTCCTTGTCCTTCAATTGCCGTGGAGCCGCCCGCCACACCCTCCCTTGCAGACGTGGCCATGGGGCTTGCGGCGTTCTGTCTAAGCAACATATTCGCCTGATTGAGAGCGAAGTATCTGATTGAGAGCGAGAGCCAAAAAAATTGAAATTTCGGGTCCAGACGCCTCTTGCCATTTCTTGGCAAGTAGGGGACGGGCTATTCCAAGAAGCGGTGCAAATTGAAGGTCTCATCAGCAGCTTCGCGAGCATATGCGTGTCATCGTCATCGGATGCTGCAGCGAGGAGCTAGACAAGTTGCTAGATTTGCCCAGA